CAGTTGTACCGGCACGAGGGCTGAGCTGGGAGGCAACATTTACTTTATAGCAAAATTATTATGTACGTTTTTCATTTATGGAGCTTTTATTGAGAGAATAAGTTTACCTGTTGTTGGTTCTGGTGCAGATGTGGCTGAGCAGGAATCTGTATGACAGAGAGATTAGATTATGTTGATACATGAATCTAACTCATGATGCTTTCTTTTATTCTACTCATCAAAGACCTGCATTCATAATCCTACTAACAGTAAAATGCACTTCAACAATAAATTTTATTTTATAAATTTACCGTCAACTAAAAAGTAACTAGTAACTCTAGCTGATAAATATGCTTAGTGGAGTAAATAGTGCAATAGCGCAATCAAGTAGAAATATAAAGTAGCATAGAATAAAAATGCTGAGTACAAGTCCCTCAAAAGTTGTAATTCAGTACAGTATTTGAGTAAATGAACTTAGTTATTTTCCACCACTGCTTACCTTCATAGTCTGGACAACAGTTCCCTCTGTATCCACAGCTTGAAGAGCAGGAGCAGTTTTCGAACTCGTAGCCACAATTGTATCGGCAGGTAGCTGCAGAAAGAACACCCAAAACAATTTACCGTAATGTTTTTTTTCTTTTGTGTATTTTAACTCTGTAGGCCTTTTCCACAGAAGACATTTGTACATGTCACTGTCAGAAAATCACATGTGTAAATAATAAAAGTATCAATGCCTGAGTTCCATTTAGCTGCTTTTATTTCAGGGTCCTGGTATTGTGCAGACTGGCACTCTTACTGGGACACTTGAATAGGACAGAGCCATCATAATATTAGTATTCATACCTGGGCCTTTCCTACAGTGAAAAGTGAACATGTTGGCTGTGAAATAGGCCTATTAGAATCCTAGATCTCATACAAATGGGGACACTGCATAATTTACAAAATCACTTGGTCATAATGATTGTGACTTACCCACAACTTGGTATTCAGCATGGAATCCTGAGAGGCTAACAATACCATCACTCTTGAAGCGCACAGTCAAAGAAGTACCGGTGGAGTTGAAGGTGGTACTGTTCGTGCCACACACTTTTCCCAGAAGCCTGCTACTGGTACTGGAGCCGTCATAGACGTAAATGGCATCATAAGCACACGTTTGGTGAAACTCAATGCTGTGATAAGGGCAAAAGGGGATAGAGGTATGAATTTACAGCTATAGACGATACAGCAACAGTAGTCAGTGATCACAGGAACTCCTGCAAGCTTACTTTAGAATAGGGAAGGCCAGCTGCACGATTCCACTGCTTGGTGTGATGTACCATATACAGTCTGAGTTTGGCGGGTACTGGTTTGGATAGTTGGGGCTGTTGAAAACACCCCTTCTGCCATAGAACTGGCCACCACAGCGTACACCTTAAGAAACACAGCACCATTACCAGGACCAGTAAAAACAAAAAGAATGCAATCACTCAGATTAGAAACATACCAGTAAATTATTTTGTGTGATACTTGTAATTTTAATAAATGCTGTATTTTGATTAATGATGGGGATTTTAATGTCAGATTCTTCCATTGGGTGAAATTATAAATAAATATAATAAAAAATATATTTTGTCAAAAAAAAAAAAAAACTCATTGGGTTTTTAAGTTGTTTATGCTGATTACATTTTATCACTATCTATATCTCTCCTGGAAGAAAAAAAAACCCATAAATTCTGTGACGGTAATGCTTACAGTTAAAAAATGTTGTCATATGGACGTCAACACTTTGCCTCTCCATTAAATAGTGCAGCCTCTTTATAACATGTAACCAGTCTATACCTGCAAGTTATCCAGGGCTATCCATTTATTTGAACAACATTTTTTTAGGTATTAATAACGTAAAAAAAACAGAACCTTGATCTGAAATTATGCTCCTTATTTCGGTGGTACTTATTTTACCTGCTGCAGCAGAATCCGTTACACGATCTGCCATCGTTGAATTAACTGATGGATTTAAAAAAACACAAAAGTAGAAAGACAGAGAGATAAACACTTAAAGGCATGCATCAACACACCATGTGATTCAGATCAAAAGATTATGATAATCAGATCTTTGCACTTTTAATACAGTAATTGACTCTGATTTAGCTGAAACTGATTGAAGCACTTCAACCAGGCCATTCAGATAGCGACAGGGTAAGGCAAACATTTTAGATGTACGCAGGACAGTTAAAACTATATCATAGTTGCATTATTTGTAGTAGGAGGTCGTTTTTGAACCTGGAAATCCTGTTGGATGCATTTCCCCAGGTGTTTGGAAGCGGTCGACACCTGAAGTATTATGAGAGGAACAAACAAACAGGACAAAAGATCAGAGTATTTAAAGACCAGAGACGGTACGGGTAGCAAAAGCCAAAAACCCACAATCCAAAAACAAAGAGACAAACATAACAATAAGAAAATAGTGGACAATACCTTGCACTCCATCTAAGGCAATCGCACTGCAGAGAACCAAGAGAGTCCACATGGTGAGTTCGTTCACCTTCCTGTCTGCTTCAGATGCTAAATAATGCAGCTTATATAACCAGACACTTTAATTCAGTACCCATAAAGTTTCTGATGCCACCAATAGTGACAGTCATAAATTACATATTTATTGTTGTGCATGAGAAAAACCACACTTGCTTAGCTATCATAAAGCGGACACAAAGATTGTTCACTTCCGGGTGTGTTTTAAGATATTTGCTCAACACATACGGTTGAACTTTTTGGTAACTTGCAGATGAGCAGATAATAAGATATCCGCTGATGATCTTACATGACTAACTGTACTGCTACAGTAATTAAATAGTGTCACCACTAGAATCCCGCTGCACTGGTTGCATTGTTTTTTGCAATAACTGAACATCAAACATTTGTTCATTAATAATGAAATACTATAATCTATTGCAGTTTCATTTATTTTAAATCCTGGAAAATTTGCAGTTGCTTGTAACTGTCCTGTAAATGTGCAAACCTATAAATCAGATTAATTAATCCTGTTAACAATAAAAACAGCTGAAGATTTGCATATTTCTTGAATTTCTTGAAGATAATGTCATAGTTAACAGCAGTAAAATGACATTTATGTTTTTACAATATAGCCACATTCAGACTGAAATACTTGAAGAATTTTACCATGACATTTGATCCCCTGATTTTTCATCTAGCACCACTAGCAGATTAACAACTTTTGGATGTATTGCCATGAAATTTAGTACATACATCAATGTCCCCCTCAATGTTAATTGTAATAACTTTGGTGATCCCTTGTCCTTTCATCTAGGGCCATCATCGGGTCAACACTTTTTATTTGTCCAATACTTTGATTTATGACCTGAAAAACCAATGACATTCCCATGAGCCTTAGCTGTTCTTTGTGTTGAGTTCTAATTAACAAATGTTAGCATCATAACTAGCTACACAATATGGTAAACATTCACTGTGTTCCGATGGCATACATATTGTTTTTACTTCTAGTAAATACTGTTGCTGCCCTTACAGAGTACATAACGTTGCATGCAGTATGCGTTCAATTGGGACATACTACTTCGTCATAACATTGCACCTTAAACTTTGACCCTCTTGCTCATACGTTTGCTCCCCAGAGGATTGTGGGTCAGAATAGCCAGAAAAGTATAATGGCTTGTATACTGCAAATTAGGATTTGGGATTAAATTAGTTAACTGTTTAAAATGTACTGTCATCCCATATTATTATTGTCATCTATAATAGTAAATGTTTTTGTTCAAGTATAATATGTGCTGCAAATTCCATTGTCACAACCAAAATCAGATTGTTGTCAATATTTAGTAATGTTAAATTCTTCTGTAAAGTAGGAATATTGGACGAAATAGGCTATTATATCAAAACTGTGGTTACTCTTACATATTTCATATCAGTATCAACATAAAAGCATACTTGATATGAATACAGTAAAATCGTCAAATACTAGTATGTCATAGATTAAGAGACCAGATGCATGAATGTTGCTTTTTTAGTTTAAACAGATAGATGAGTGACTTTGGATACCAATCGGTCAGAGTTATATAGAGTCATTCATTTTTGCTTTATAGACTCTTAATTTCCCATTATCAATTATTATCACTGTAACAATGTTTATAAGAGATAAAACCAGGCCTTTATAACACCTAACATGACACAATGTTTCTCTTTATGATGAGAAAATGTAGTGTACCCTGTTCTGTTGAATCAGGTGTGTGGGAAGGATTCTCCTCATTACAGTCACAGATGTCTCTCCCTAAAAGTAAATATGAGCTACATTGCTTAATAAACTTGTTGACTTGTGTATAAAGAACATTTGAAATGTGTTGGCTCTTTTCCAAGGACACTTTGGCCTTATTATCTCTCTAAATCTAATCGTAACCTTTTAACAGTTTGACATGTAAGAAAGTTAAAGTGAGGATTTTGGATTTATCAGACATCTTATTAGTTCTTGCTTTGTAAGGAGCTCATTAAGTTAGAAATGTGGGGTGTCTATAGAATTTCTCTGGAGAATTTAACTGGAGGTTAACATTGTTTAATCAGTGTTATTGTACATTTATAGTATAGAGTGAATTTGCACTAATGACATGGAATGAATATAAGAGAACTCAAGAAAAGGTGTATCGAGATGAAGACAGATAATAGTAACAATGATAGCAGAATAATATTATACAACATGAAATCCCTTTCTGTCCTCTTTTTTTTGTTATATTTAGGTGATTCAGTTTCGAGACCTGTTTACGTGATACTTGTTTGACCCCCCTCGACGTTGAGCAAAAGTTCTTAAAACATGCGTAATTAATCAAGAGAACCATTCTCGCTTCACAAATAAACATCAGTGAGTCACTCTCAAACACAAACAAGCCTGGCTGTCCCCCTGCTTCCCAATCGTCCTTTGTGGAAGTTGAGCTCTCCTTTCACCCCCTCCAGGATGTGGTTGCATCATCCTCCTAAAGTCAACACGTAGAGGGACATTGGGTGGTCTTTCTCTCTCTGTCAGGCCAGCGCGTCAGTACAAAGCGGAGTGTAAGTCATGACAGCGGAGCCCCTGACTCAATGCTGCTTTGGTTAATCAGTAACCAGGATGGGAGTAATGCAACTGGCTGGGCCGGTTTAAAGTAAAGGAGCAGAGGAGCCAGGACCTCATTCAGCACCTCACTCAGCAGCAGCAGACACACACGGTAAGAGCAAACTTTGACTTTATCTCAGCAATCGTCTTTTGATTGTACAGTGCAATGAATGTACAGACTCTTCAGAGATAAGGGGAAATGAGTCCTATAACTGCTGGGACTAATCCATTATGTTCTTCAAAAGCTAAACATCATGTTCTAAATGTCTAAAATGTGTCCAACCGCCTCTCTGACAAGCTTTTTGTTTACTTTAAGGGTTATTTATTAATAAAAATAAACGGTATAACTAAAATTGAGCTTAAAGACAAAGCTATAATGAATCTGAATAAACAAAATAAACATCCTTTCCCATAAATTGGGTGGGTGAGTTATGTATAAGAACATTTGAGTGCGCTGGTTTTATTGATTAGGTACCAAGGCCATGTCCTGTGGTGCATTTCCAAATAGAGGGAAAATCTAGTGTTTGCTCACCTCTTACAAGAGTCCATCAGTCCAAATTTCTGCACGTCCAACTCAAAGGATAAAGTCCTATTTTTGCATAAGAGCACTCGCCAAAGTTATTCTCCTCCACAGACAAGACATCTAGGTTAATGCATAAAAGTGTTCACGAAGGAGTAAAAGTTGTCAGTTCAACTTAGAAGGCCAACTGCAGTACATCAGTGTTTACTCTGCATTCAATAGGAGCTCCAGCAACAAAATTGCAATGAGAAATATCTCGATGAACTTGTTGATTCTTTTTTAACAATATACTTACTTTATATATCTGCTTTAACAGGATCCACATATACAACAAACAATATCCAAATGAAACATCCATCTCATTTTAGTCTGTGAACACAGAAATTCGCACACAGATGTGCGTCGATGTGTCTTCATTATCTATGCGACCTCTGTTGCGGAGGGTAATGCCTGCTCTCATTCACTGACCAGCATGAGAGAGGACACACAAAGAGCAATCAATCCATCGCTGACATGCCGCTCTATGTCCAATGTTCCTGCCAGCCAATCCTGTCGGAGACAGAAAACCAGATCCAGCCAGATTGCTGACGAGAGTCACATTAGTGGTGATATAGCATTCACAAGCCGCCCAATGCAAACTGCTCGCTAAGACTCAAGAGGCAGTTAATGGGTTGAAATGCTCAAGGTAATTCATTGTGAACTAAAAATAGCTCTCTATCTCCACAGAAGGAATCATTTTAAGGTGACTACCAACAAAAGGTAAAATGCGGTCGCCTCTTCTAGCCTTCCTACTCTGCTGCTACCTCTCAGGAAGCCAAGCCAACCGCGTCTACGTCCACCCCTTCTACCTCTTTGCCGCGGAGAATGTCAGCTGCGAAACCCTGGACACCCAGACCTCCAAGCCTCTGGAGACACTTCCTGTGGCCCCCCTCGATATTGAAGTCCTCACACCAGACAGCAGGGACCCGTCGAAACTGGACACACAGAGGCAGAACATCACAGTGAGGACGGCGGTCCTGGCAGAGCTGGTGAACTCTGTGGGCCTGAGGATGTACCAGGCTGTCAGCAGTAAGCAGCAGAGCACCAACACCCTGTTCTCTCCAGTCAACACCTTTGGATCCCTCGTCACCTTCTTCCTGGGGGCCTCCAAGAAGACTGCAAGCTCATTCCAGGTCTTTGCTTTTGATTTGTTCTCATTGTGGAGATATCCCAAAAGGGTTTTAGGCAAGCAGAACCTGGGGATGATTGATACGGCCCTAACCATCTATGTGATCATCAGGTCTTTTTGTTCACTCAAAGATGTTAATCTTTACTAAATCAATCCTTTCCTTGTAGCTTATACTAGGCCTGAGCAGAAACACCGACCAAGAGGACTGCGTGTCCTTCGTGGATGGACACAAGGTTCTCAAGACCCTGCAGGGCATTAACTCTCTGGTGGACGACGGACCCAAAGATGAAATCACCACCCAGGTCTGGACCTTCATTCGCCAGGACGCTCAGCTCTCCGATGACTTTGTTCAAGGCACGCAGGAGTTCTCCGACACATCGTTCATCCGTGGCGTGGACTTCTCCAAACCTCAGGAGGCCGAGCAGCTGGTGAACAGCTTTGTGGAGAAGACATCAGACGGGAGGGTGAAGGGCATCTTCAAAGATCTGAACTCCAGCAGCGACCTTCTGTTTGTTTCTTCCTTCAACTTCCAAGGTGTGTTTCTTCTTCCTCTCAATTTATTTTACAGTTTGCGCACAGTGAGTTTCCTGATATAAAGTCAAATCTGACTTTGTGTTTTAGGAGTGCAATGCGAATGTGTAATACATGTGTCAGTCAAACTTAGCTTTGTGCTGTTGACACAGATGCTCATGTACCAAACTGAAATCCTGAGTTCTGTCAACTACTGCGCCACCTTGCATATTACCTGATTGTGTTCTTTGGTTGTGTCTATTTAGGCAACTGGAGGACAGCTTTTCAACCAGAGAAGACCTCCTTGCAGGAGTTTCATGTGGATGAAACAACCACAGTGATGGCTGCAATGATGACCCACACGGGTCAGTACCACTACCTGAATGATAAGGTAAATTTTATTTCAGGATATTGTTTGTCATCACATATTTGCAGCTGTTAAATATGAAATTGACTTGGGTGAGTATTCAAATGTAATATTTTTCTTATGTCCCCATGAAGGTACGGCAGTGCACAGTTGTCAAGCTGTCTCTGAGCAAACGGTCTTATATGTTGCTGGTCCTGCCTCATGAAGGCTCCAACCTCCACGACATTGAGTCTAAGCTGCTCACTGGCGTCATGTCTGAATGGCGCCAGAGCTTCCAGGAAGGGTGAGTATTGTGCTTTTTTTTTTTTCTTAATGTCATTCACAATACCACAAGCTGGGGGACTGAAAATGTTAAGCATCTTTGGTCATAATGTCATGTTATGTACCCGTTGTGTATCCATTTTTAATTCCATCCGTCATGTGACTCATAGTATTTTCAGTAGCCAATAATGTGTATTTCTGTTCAAATTTCACTTTTTGTGTTGAATAGCTCAGTCTACAATCTTAGGGTGATTTCATTGTAATTAAGAGTTATTGCATGATGTAATAGTTACAATTGCAGTTTCAGAAATCAATATCAGAAACAGTTTTACTGTCAAGTAGATTTGCACATACAAGGAATTTATATACACACAGAGCTATATATTTCAAAGCGAGATCGAGTTGGGTACGGTCCCATTTTATTTCAAATACTTTACGATCCGTCTCTCCTTCTGTCCATTCGCCCAGTCTGTTGGTGCTGTCCCTCCCAAAGTTCTCCATGTCATCTACGACTTATATGCGCGACTTGCTGACCAACATGAATCTGGAACTTGAGGCCAAGCTGTTGGGCTCTCAGGCTGAATTCAGCCAACTCAGCAACAACAACCCTTTCACTATCGATAAGGTGAACTACATGAGAGGTCATCTTATCATAAAAAACACTGTGTGTGTGTGTGTGTGTATCATTAACAGATCTCTCTGTGTCCTCTCAGGCCGTCAACAAGGTGTCGTTTGAGATGTCCGAAGAAGGCGCAGAACCCCAGGACAAGGTCCAGGAAGCGGGCGTCCCTCTGAAGCTGACCATCAACCGGCCATTCTTCTTTTCTGTCATAGAGGGCTATTCTAACGCCATCCTCATGCTGGGAAAGATCACCAATCCCACACTGTAAAGTTATATAGAACTCAAAACCTCATCAAGATCATGATCTTGTTTTCCAGCTAAAAAAAATGACCACAACACATGAGGAATGAAGCACAACCTTGCTCAAGAAGGACCCAGCTGATCTCTCCTCAAACTCAGGAGTCACTGGGGATCCCTGTCTCAGTATTTATGACAAGCTTTTACTTTATGCCGAGTTGTTTTTAAGGAGCCTGTTAAAAATCCTAATTTGTTTTTCTTCTGTAAAATGTATTATAGCAGAATTCTGTAAGGTATTTTGTAGTAGAGTAGGTACAGTAACCACGATTCTATGATGAATGACTAATACATTGTATATTGTAACTAAGAGTATATTTTTGTTTTGTTAACATTTGTAATTGCTGAAATAAAACTCGTTTCCCAATATAGTTCAAATGTCATTGGTTTTCATCAAGATGTCAGACAATTTTGCCACAAAATGACAAACCAGCCAAAAATAAAAACCTGCAACATTTAACATTTAAAAACAACAAACTGTACCTCCTCACAATACGTAACACCATGACATAGATATTTTTGGAACATACAAGTATGTCTGACAGATTTTTATTATTTCACAACTTGAAACAGCAAACGCTGTGAATTTCTGAACTTTTTTCTTTCCATCGTTTAAAACAAAATAATAACATATATACATAGAGTATATCTCGTAGTATAGAATGTCCTAAAAATGTCAAAAAGTCATAGTATGTAACAAATGTGATAAAAAGTTGTCTAAAAGTAATAATATAGTATGCCATTTAAAAAATGTAATCACTTCAGCATTTTATCCAGTTTTTTTTATTTGTATTTGTTTGAAATTGGCATTAATTCTTGAGTTATGGCCAACAACATTGAGGTCATAGTGACCTTCAACACCCAAATTCTAATCAGTTTCATCTTTGTGTCCAAGTGGACGTTTGTGCCAAATTTGAAGAATTTCCCTCCAGATGTTCCCGAGACATCGCGTTCATGAGAATAGGACGGACGCACAGAAAGACTTGCAGACATGAGGACAGATGTAAAGCCTCTGGCCACGGCTTCTGCCAGCACGGAGGCACAAAAACGCAAATTCATGTGTGAAATAATATGGAAACAGTGATTGTTTCAGCAGCTTCTTGCTTTTGGTGCCCAGTTTAAACAAAAAATCTAAAACCAGTTATTGAAATACAAATTTTGGTTTGACTTTGATTTAGAAATATTTTCACCGATCTGTAGCATTTGTTGGTAGTCGATGGAAAAAGATGTAAGCAGTGCAAACATCTAGCTAGCTAACAAACTTTATATTAAAACACAAATTCAATGCTGTATCCACAGTCCTTTATTTTTTTCCAGAGTTAATTATATTATGAAACTTTGATTTTAACATAAATGTACATGTTACACACCAACAGACTATTTGAGAGGAAACCTTCACCGTGTAGCAGAATTTAGACAAACATGGTTTCATTGACATTCTCTCTTTACAACGTAAAGACTTGAGAATCTTGTTATGCAACATTCTGGCCCAACATGTATAATGATTGGTACAATCACTTTCTATAGAGCATTGCATACCACCAGCATCAGTCCGCAGAACCAATGGTGACCCAGTCGCTCTCACAGACTGTTTACAGGGGCCACTGTGGCAGGTTCTTGTTGAGGACATGTTAGTGCACTGTGGAGTTTAAGGTGCCATGTCTAAGAGTAGAACTGCACAAAGGACTTTTTTTTAAATAATGCATCTACGGTCTGTGTACGTTTTGATAGTTTGTTTATTCAATTAAATCCAAAAATGGAAGAAACAGGAAAAATGACCCTCACCACGTCCTCCCCGCGGTCAGGAGGCTTCTAGTTAGTAGTTGGCTTTTTATTTTTAATAACTGATGACCCCTATTTCTTTGGAGCAGGTACACATTGAACCTTCAAAGTCTGCAATAAATGGAGATGATTTTGTAAAAGGATTTCAGTAGCGTGAGCTCTTGTCATACATTCTTTGTGACCTGACCATTATAAACTGCCACCAGGCCATGACTGGACTATCTTCCCAAGTTTTCAGGCAATGCAGCATGTGAATGGGTTTCAGTTACTATGCAGTCAACCTTTTTACTGGTTCTGTTCAGCGAGCTCTCGGGCCTCTTTCACCAGGTCCATCAGAGTAGAGAACATGGGGATGTCACTTGGCTGAAGACCCATCTTCTGGATCTGAGGCACACAACAGCAGTGGAAGAGAGAACAATCCAAAGCATTTCAGTAGCAGTATGCAACCTCAGCAATATTTGCCCAAGGAATGTGCATTCTTAGTCACATGTTTAAATATTTGTCTCCACAGATGTCTCTGCATGCGTTTGTGTACTCGTCAACACCACCCACCTGTTCCCCGAGGTATTCCACATCCAATGCGAGTTGAAGTCGGATCTTGCTGTCGTCTGTGAGTGCACCATTCGCTCCGGCCGTGGTAGTCGCGCTCGCACCTTTTCTGGCTTGTTTCAATCGCTTCAGACTCTCCTCCATCTTTCTCACTGAGCTCAGCACCTCTGAGATGGTCTCATAATACCTGAAAGAGATGGGAAATGAAAGTAGGCAACGCAAAATGTGTTGGTTGCAGCTGGAAAAATGTATAAAATTAAAGTCTTTAAATTATATTAAACGGAATAGTTCATTCTGTGAATTTCAAGCACAGGTGATCCTTTTTAATTCTGGTAATGTTTCTGGGTCTATTTGTCTTGGCAGGGGTCTTACCTCTGTGTGCAGTCAGACAGTGCAACTCGCAGCCACTCTTGTGCTGTAGAGGGGGTGACAAGCTCTGATGAGTCAGTCAGCAACTGATGTAACGGGCGTAAGGCGTTGTCCATGTAGGCGGATGCACGCACTGGCAGATCCTAAATATGTTCAAAAAATATATACATTTCAAAATGTGCCTGTGTTAACGATTGCTGTTGGTAGGAAACTGAATTTGAAGTTCAGTGTTTTGTTCACGTTGACAATAAGGAGAGGTGGTCGAAACCACAACAGGCGGCTGCGAAGTGCGGCTCGCTGCAACAATTGCATTTTTCTGCGGCCGGGAAGAATGTTAATGTGTTTCAGGCAGTAAGAGATTCTTTGTAATACAACATGTCACAGGAGTCACAGGAGACCGTTTATTGATTTGGGAAAACTATTAAAGTAAAACTGTGTTTAGGTTTCGCTACATTTTGTTAATGTACAGCCATGCAGTTGTCATGCATATCAAAATTGCAAAAAGTGTGCATTGTGCAGCACTATGATGCAGAAGAATATGAACAAATAATCAGATTCAGTAACAGCAGATACTTCAAGAGCAATAAAACTTAATCGGGACATCCTTCTTCAACGGGTAACTGTGTTTGTGTGTCGTATGCCAACAGTGTTTTCCTCCAAGATATGTGCACGTTTGCAGCTCCACTGACCTTATTAGTCCTACGGTAGAGTCGCGGAACCTCAGAGGCACTCTTCAGGAAGCGGCAACAACGTTCAGTCAAATGCTGGGTCATCCTGGTGTTCAGAGTGGGAACGCTACTTGACAGGCAAGTCTTGGAGTCCGTTAGAGCATCTGACATAGAAGAGAGCACGAGTAAAACTACACACACGGTCTGATTTGCTTTGGCGCTCAAGTCGGGGATATTGAACAAGGAAGCCAAGAGACACGGAATGATTCGATTTCGTGGCCGACATGTTCTCTCTGAAGAGGTCATGCTCAGAAGCCTGAGGATTGAATGGTTACATTTTAAATGTCAATGATCGCTGGCATTTATGTTTTGCATTGCCGTGTGTCTCCTGGCATGTTTTCCATAGAAATAAGACCACAGCAGAAAAGGTCCAACAATCCCTCCCAATAATAAAAAAATCCTGCAAAAAGATTTGAAATCCCACAAATATTACAATTTCTATTCAGAGAAATATTAAATGCTTCACAACAGATGTTAAATGCTATTGTCATGAAATTGTCCTCCTTCCTCATTAATAATAAGATGAATTTACTTCAAACTCACCTTCCACGATAGCAATGTTTTTGAATCCGATGGCTTCTAACCGCTGTCTGACCATCTCTGTCAACTCTGGTATCTAAGAGGAAGACGAGCAAACTGTCAGTTTAGAAACAGTTAAGTGGAAACCGCGAGAATTGGTTAACCCCATAAGTTTAAAATGTATTTTATATTAGAACTACATATGTAAATATATGTATTTGTGTGTGTACCTGCTCCTGCAGCTTTTGGATGTCAGCTGCAATGTAGACCAGCTGTTTGGTGGACAGAGAAGCAGGACTCCCACTCTCACTGCCGCCCTCATCCATTGACGTTCGGCTGGAGGTGGAGGAGGCTGAGCTCGGCAGAGGCCTGGTTGGCTCTTTAGTCACTTCAGTGGATGGAGTCTTAGTCAACACCTGTGCGGACGCCAATCACGATGAGGAACACAAAGCAAGCCACAGCAACATGGCTAGTCATTGCTTACATACTGCTTTGTTGGAATAATTATAGTCCTCAGGTTTAATTAAGTTTACCTCGTCAAGAAACTTGGCATATCGTGCGTAGAGCTGCAGCGTGAGCTTCCAGAAGCGATGGGCCAGAGGTGACAGGTAGACTTTGTCTGACCAACATCTCATAAGGCAGGACCACAACACCTCAGATACCTGCAGGTGGTACACACTGCCAGCTGGACATGAACAGACACAGAGACACAGTTACTTTGGCCAAGAGATTAGCTACACCCTGGTGTTTATGATAGTAAATAAATTCATACCTTGTGCAGCCTCAAGTCCATCACTGATGGCGTTCTCCAGACTCCCTGCTATTTCCTTGTACCTGGAAAAACAAGGCAAAAACAATCAATGTGTTATCAGCTTATTCAGCTCTGATATGCACATGCTCATGACGTGAAACACCACTGTGTGCGTTGAAAATTCCCGACTTTCCAGAACAGCTGAACTGTGCAGGTTTATGTTGTGAAATTAGGTCACAAGCCCTGCTCTTTACAGTGTGTGTGTGTGTGTGTGTGTGTGTGTGTGTGTGTGTGTGTGTGTG